ATGTTTTTGGCGCGGTTGGCGTAGCGGAGCGTCGAGAGGGTCTCGTCAAAGTTGTAGTCGGCAGGACTAATGGCGGCGACCATGACAGTCTTGGTGTTGCCACCGAGCGAATCCTAAAGAATGTGTCCGATGTCGTCTCTCACGTGGTGCTATTCTTGGTGTGTACTTGAAGCAGCCGCGTGAGCTTCGAGTCCCGGTACGGAATGTGTTTTCCTTTCCCGTCCACCAAGGCTACATTACATGGTCGATCTAAAAAAAGTGGTAAAAAGACAATTTGTACCAGAGATGACATTGCCAAGCGCAGAGAGACTCAGGTTGATCTTGCAGCCTTCCTACATCGATTGTCGAACCAAGCAGAGTAATTCAAGCCTACCTTGAGCCGCGCGCCCGTCGCGCCTGTCTTGCTCTGCCGCTCACTCCCCGCCAAGTCGACAAGGTTGAGCTAGACCGTACGTAGAGCGAGCGTTCAGTATGATGATAGCAACATCCGACGACGCACCTTGCCCGCTCGAAAGTGCTCCTCGCCGTTGACTTTTTCACTGATTTCAACCACAATGGTAAAGATCGAGTGCGACCGTGATGACCCTTCGTTCATGAGCGTCGCGGCAATCGTGCGGTTCTTGAACCCACGGGCCATGACACTAGTCGTCGCGTCAGATGTGATGATGACAACGTGTACACGAATGCATACCGGTTGATGCTGGCCACGTCGCTCACGACGACTTCGGTGAGGTCTTTGACGTACACGCCCCCGTCAGCGCTCTCTTTGAGCTCTAGCTTTTGCTTCGAGTCGTCGCCGAGGAGGTCGCGAATGTCTTCGTTGTAGATCTCGAGGTACGTGGCGCGGACCATGTACTCGCGCTCCGTGTCGGCGCCAATGTTTTCAAAGACATGGTCAAACGCGTGGGGGATGACACCGCGGAGTTCGGGGGGGCTGTCCTTGCCTTGCATCGTGTGCGTCTTGCCGCAGCCCGTTTGGCCGTACGCAAAGATGGTGCCGTTGTAGCCCTCAAAGACACTTTCGACCAGCGGGTAGCCCGACTCGTCATAAAATTGTCGCTAGCCCCAACAACAATGGTCCATAGCTTCAACACAAAAAGTGTGTACCTGCACCGTGTGCTCGTCGTAGACCGAGTCGAACGTAAAACTCTTTAACGCGTCGCTGTCAGGGCACTTGATGGAAACGACCGCGGCGGCCACGTCCATGGTCACGATCGACTGCCGGCCCTCAGTGATCTCCTTGCCAAAGAGCGGTCGGCAGCGCACGACGACCTTGACTGTTTCTCGTCCCTTGGCATTGGCCGAATTGACGATCGCGGCCGCCGACGCGAGGTCCATGTGCAGAGGTACGGACAAAGGATATATTGGGCTGCGCCGGTTACACGCTCTAGTTACAAAGGTGGCACATGCCGAATTGAACATACCTTTCTTTCGAAATCTATTCGAGTACCCGGTACATGCGACTGCATGTACTTACATGGTCCTTGGAGGCACCTACCGTTACCGCTATTATGGAGATGGAACACGTGAAAGAGAAATGCGCAATCACGTTTATCGAGTGCTCGTTGGCGACGCGGCTAGGCTCTGCGTGTGTCGACAACACTAGCTAGTACCCTACACCAAGAGACATAAATGTACTTATGCCCCTTGCGTACACATATTACCGAGTTCTCGCGCTCTGCATGTGTTGGTTTCGATTAAGCTGCTATGCTGTGGACGAGTTCACGAGGTTGGATCGATCGAGAGGCAACTAAATATGGTTTTGGTGGTTACTTATGGCAAATGCCACTAGTAAATATTCGATCGGACAGAACAACGCTTCAGTGCCTCGAACGCCAACGCCACATAGCATTCCGAACTCCTAAAATCCATGTCGACAAAAGTGGCAAGTTTGGGCGATCTTTTTCAAAAGTCCGAAATCAGCGATTGCAGAGCAGAGCCTCTTCGCGGTCGACTTTCTTGGATAGGATTGGCCAAAATGATGAAACATGACCAATAAAACGACATCTCCATAGATGGCATATGCCGAATGTAACGCAGGCCGCTCACAATCGACGTTCTCTGTGGTGTCATGCATATGGATCAATGCTGCCGTCCGAAACGAGGCCACCGCTTGTGGGTGTATACCGTGGATACACTGTGGCATGCATTCATCTCGTGACTGTGGGGAGCTTGGACAAGCAACGATATGACACGAGAGGCCATACCGGGACGCTCGTCTCTATTTTCGGCATCTCTTAGTTTCGGCATGATGTTGAGAAATAGCCAATCATGACGCAATACGCTTCATGCTGATCTGCTGCTGCCGATCATCATTTTCCAAGAGCGACGATGAACCTCGCCAATCGAGGTACCGATCTCGTCGGTGGCAGGGATCGAAGCGTGTCCTAGTTGCCATCGTCACGGGCGCCGGCAACGGACTCGGCAAGGCATACGCGCTCCAACTGAGCAAGCTCGGCGCCAAGGTCGTTGTCAACGACACGGGTGGCAACCGCCACGGTGTCGGTGTCGCCCACAGCGCTGCGGACGCGGTCGTCGATGAGATTCGCTCGCTGCACGGCGAGGACGCAGCGGTTGCCAGCTATAGCTCGGTCGAGGACGGCGGCAGCATCGTGCAGACAGCCCTGGACGCCTGTACGTTGCTACTTGTGCATTTTCATGCGTCATCGGGCACTAGATGGTCAACTCGACATTCTTGTCAACAACGCAGGTACAATCACACATCCAAAATGACAAGGCGACCACCAAGACAGGCATTTTGCGCGACGTGACGCTCAAGAACATGACGGACGACGACTGGCACTCGGTGCTCAACGTGCATCTCAACGGCACGATGAGGTACGATCCGTCTCGCTCGCCGATCATCGATTCCAATCGGTTGAATCCTTCCAAATAGCGTC